ACTAAATAGAAGTTCAAAAAGTGCAGCTACCTGTGGCCTGGAAAAATTAAGATAGCTGCATTTGCTATAGCTTCTGTAAAAATCTACCGGCTAAAAAAAATATAAAAACGTGTGTTTCAAATGATATCAAAAATCATTTAGAATGAAGTTGAAATAACAGATACTATGATAATAATCTGTAAGTTAAAAAAATACAATTACTAATATATTATATTATACGGGAATCGAACCCGTACTTCAAGTAAAATGAAAACACTAAGTGTTCCCTTTAAAATCATCTAAATTTCAAGGTTATCAAAATTATTTATAGCACAACCCGGGAATCGAACCTGAGATGGAAACAAATCACGAATTAAAACTGAAATAACTAGTATTCGGACAATGTATCGATTATATTTAATTATATATTTAATTTAGCAGACAAAATTAAATATGAAATCTGTAAGGTAGAAAAATAATAAAATGTTAATTTTGCATAATCTCAGAACTCCGTTCTGTTTCAATATATTGTTTTATGAATGTTACTACTTTAAGTATAGCAACAATTTTATAATACTTCTTTCCTTAAATATCTATTTCACCTTTATCGAAATAGAATAAAAATATTATCAAACATTAGGTTAAGAACTGGATTTTTACCTCAGTAATAATATTCAATGAACAATGAATAAACATTATAAAACATTATTTAGAATTTAAAAGTTACTTATTGGACTTGTGATTTTAAAAATAAAATACTCTAAGGTAATAAACTTATAAGCGAGCAGCAAAAATTAAATGAATGGAACACTCACCCGATTTCGGGGTTATTTAGCACTTACACACAATTTGGAATAATCAAATCACAATGAATCCATTGGACTCGCGAGAAGTCATTTTAAATACTATGCCACCACTATGAGCCGCGCTGCGCTCCTATGTCTGCCTACCTCCATAGTACAATTGTTAACATTGTACCTACAATTATTTTTAATTATATTTTTCTTTAAATTTATTTGTATTAAAAAAAGAATTCAAAACAAGGACAGTTTATTAAGTAAACTGTTACACTCCCGCACCCGCTCACCGGCAGCCGTGGCATTCGTTGCTAGTTTATTTTGTAAAAAAATAATAAGTTTTCAGAATCCGGGACAATAAGCGCTAATTACTGGATACGGGACAAGAGACAAGATTCCGGGACAATCCCGGATTTCCCGGCGGTCTGGCAAGCCTAGTAGGTACAGTTCAAAGCTTTTCCGTAGTTTCTTCAAACAAGACTTCAAGTAGCTCAGTGGCATAGTGGATAAGCGCCCCGGCCCGCGATCATTGTCGTTAAGCAACTTAGCATGGATCGGTCACGGGATGGGTGACCAAAAAAACAAATCATTATCTCGAGCTACTCCGTGCTTTTCGGCATGCACGTTAAGCCGTTGGTCCCGGCTGCATTTGCAGTCGTTAATGCCCTCTAATCCGCATTGGGCCAGCGTGGAGGGTCATGGCCCATCCTTCTTAACCATCCATAAGTAGGGCCTGAGCCCCTGCGGTGGGGACGTAAAAAGGCTGATGATGGTGAAATAAAACTTCAACATTTACGCACCTAGTATCACAATCGCAATTATCTTTCGATAGGACTTCTATTATCGAAATATGTTTCTTCTAAAACTAATATATAAAATAGATTAAGAAAAAAATCAAAAAGGTTTCAGTTTACAGGGTTTACTGTTCGATGGTAAAAATGTCAGCTGTCACTTGCAAGAGAGTGTCCCACCCGTGAAAAGTATGTTCCAAGACTTTCCCTCTTTACTTTACTCTTTGTTCATAACATTCCTTGAACATAAAAATTCAAAGTACGCTATTTTTAATTTTTTTTCGCCGATATAAACATGTTATCATCATCAGGTATATCTGATACTGATTACTAATTAGATTTCGATAATATTTGAATGGGACCACCTCGGCCCATAATAAGCTGTCGAATAAAGAATTTTGAAAATTGATTCATTATTGGTGGAGTAATCGCGTAACAAACACAAAAAGTCATACAGTCGAATTGAAAACCTCCTTCTTTTTTGAAGTCGTATAAAAATAAATTCTAATGAGGAAATATTTAAAAAATAAACATTAGTTCCCGAAATCAGACTAGATGCCGATACAGTACTTTCTTGATATCACCATGAGAAAATTAAATGGTCCCTTCCGGTTTTCTTCCATGTATATAAGCAAATTAGTTTTCAAAACTCAATAAACAACTCATATTCTGTTTGTACTTTTTCGTATTTGTTGGTATCTAAGTTTCGAACTTTGCAAATTTCAGTTTTTTAATATGTTAGTTAAAAGGAACGGAAATTATAGCTTTGGTCATTCGTTTCCTACAAATGTCAACTTTTTCTAGAGTCGCCATCTAGTGGATGTGCTTTCTTTTTTTTAATACTTCCTCATTGTTCTCAATCAACAATTGAATAAATTAGCCCTAAAGAACCATTTCGTGTGCATTCACATAAAAATAAATATTTTAAAATAAGAACGTATTTGATTATATTAAAGCTAGAGACATGTTAATTCCCAACATTTGTCTTAATAATGAATAAAATATACTTTATTAACGCCGCGGGAACCTCTTGGGTGTCTTATAGTCGCTGTTTTAAAAATACAATCTAACTTTTTCTTATTTTATGAATCTTTCTTGATGACGTATGCATTATTCAACGGTCGAATTATGTGGTAAATATCTTTTCGCTTTTAATAAGATGACGTTGGAATGGGTGAGTTTTTTCTGGGATTTTATGATTAACTTTTTTAATGTTGCCATTGTAATTAATATAAGTTATTAATGTTTGCTCTGTAGTCGAGTTGAGTTGTTTGGAAGTGTTATAAATATATTATTTTAGGGGAACAGGGTAGTTCTTATTGTATAAGCATTTATTTATCTAGTCGTGTGTAAATTTTATCGACCTCCCGGTTTTTGTAATAAATTCTGTTGCATTTTGTGATGTAAATAAATAAATAATCTGTCTATTTGTATAATTAAAGAAGTGTTACTTAATTTGAGTTGCGAAAGGAGTTTACGATAATACCGATTGTCACAGCCGCTTACAAGTTATTAGGCCTTAGGGAGTAATTATAGTTGAATGTTCGAGCATACCACGTTGCCTACAAAATTTTAGCCTGAGGCTACCTTCCCAACTTAGAAGTGTAGCGATGCGACTTTAATTTTGGTCAATTATATTAGACACGCTCTGTGAGGTCACTATAAATAATTGTGAGCTGATGGACGCCGTTCACTTTGTGTTAAATTGCTGCTGAATTATAGAACTGCGTCTTCTTTATTGTGATTTCCAAAAGTAGTCTTGTATTTTTATCTATTAAATATCAGGCGTGGATCCACAGGAGGCGCAATTGGTACGAATTCCTCTCCTCTCTTGGGTAAAACCTTATGAGCCTTATGCCTTACCAGCCGTTACTAAAAACATGATGGTTTATTTGATATATTTCGCTTTCGAATTGGAATGTTATATTGATAGATTGTAAGAGAATACTTAATACTTAGAGTGGAGAATACTTATTATGTAATAGTGTACACTACATGTTCCTCCTATTATACCATTCCATCCCTATCGTAGAGTTGTATCCATAGTTAATAGTATCCGGTAATACAGACTGGTGATGTACCGGATCATTGAAAATATGTATCTGCGGATACATTTGTTGGGTTTTGCCTTCTCTTAATCAACCGCCGTCGGCGCACGAGACCTTGAAGTGATAGTTGACATCACGCATGCCGCAATGACAGACAGGATATTATAATTGTTTGGACTTGCGTTGCGAGGATGGGTATTACATTTATAAGTGAAAAGATCTATATAAGATCCGCGAGAAAAGTAACGGACACGGATACTGATCTGTTTTGTTCCTCGAGTATTCGTGGATACGGATATCCGGCCCTTAGCATCACTAGTATGGGCAAAACCAGTTCTGTCAGCTCAACACGAGCCAAGTGTTATTAATATACTTGTTACAAACAGCATGATTGTAAACTAGTGCTTACAGTTAATTTTAGATAGAAAGGTTAATATAAGAAAGAGAAAACTAATCGCGTCCTTATCTGATGAAATGCGGGCCTGACTGGGAAAGTAGTGAGCGTTTATGACTTTCACCTCAAGATGTAGTGGTCAGTGCAGATCGCTACTTACACTCGTTGGTGAGACCATTAAGGCTACAAGATATAAAATATATCTACCTAAAGGCAGTTGTTAAAGTATTTATACGATTTTACTTATAATAAACTTCGCACCTGTTCACATAAACTGTGCACGGAACGCGCATAACGCGAACGTTTTGAAAATACTAGGTGTTTTAGTGCGTAAATTATTGCCGAGACCACGAACTGCAATGTAAAAGTTCAATATGCGTTTGGAAATTGATATTTTTAATTTACTAAATAAGTAATTAAATATAATAATTAGAACATTTTTTTATCTTTATCTAAAGTTTAAATATTTGGGTAGATTGTCTACACATGGATGAAAATACGCTCTGTAATAGCAAAAAAAGTAACAAGCGCTTGAAAATTTTGAAAGTCCTGTTAAGAGCATTCTCCCGGATTGCAAAGTATATGGGTTCTAGTCCCATTTCACAATTTCAGGGTCAGAGCGCAATGGGACAATGCAATGTTGATGAAATATAACAAATATTTAAGGTTATAGTTATTGGTAACAAAGGTTATACTTGTCATTTTTTATTAATATGTCGTCTGCCATTTTGTTGAAGCAGTGATCTTGAATTTGCATAATATCTCAATACGCCTAGCTTATGATCAAAGTTTTATGTGTATTCGTGGTAATAGTCATTATAACTATAGATAAGCATGGATGAGTTTTTACGTGTATGTGCTTTCTTATAGCTATTATAAAAAACATCCTATCTTTGTATCTGAATATATTCATTATGTAACTAGATCTATCAAATTAATTTATCATATGGTAAGATGTTTTATGTTTTGGAATAATAGCGTCGAAATACTTGCGAACTTTTATTTTCACGTGCAAACATTGATAAACTATAATCTAACATATAAATTAATATTAAAGACTGATATATTACAGTCGTAATAAGATTAAAACAAAAGCATAAAAAAATGGATTTTGCTTGGCAGTTTTGCCAATCGATAGTAGATCTTTTTGTTTGGAAAACAAGTTATATTTTCAATTATATGACGGCGTAAGTGGGCTCAGTAGCTACGCCGCAGGTGTTGTCTCTTGCAGAGATATGCATGTATCCAGCGATGCCCCACTCTGGACCCCAAGAGTTCTTCAAGATCCAGTAGGTATCGCCGTCCTGCTCACCGTAACCAACCAGAGATACTTCGTGGTTCAGATCCGTGGGGTCACTGTTACAGTAATTGTTTATTATAACATAACACTTAAACGTCATTGTACCTGTAGTAGTTAATTTTGACGTTTGGGAAAGGTGAAGGAACTAAGCCATTCTGCCAATATTCTTTTATGAATGAAATACTCTTTATTGTACACATATCCTAAGTAAAGGAACATAACATTATAATGTAACAGACAGTACAATTGGCGGCCTTATTGCTAATAAGCAAAAATCTTCCAAGTAAACTTAACATGACATACAGGATATACTTAAAAATTGGTTAGTCTATGGTGCTTTAAGAAGTTCCTTTAATTTTCAATAACATGTATTGTTAAATAGATAAATTTATTTGTTTTATTGATTGCTATTTAATAAAAGGTAACAGGATTTAACTCATATAGCATAATATTAGGGCAATAATATGCCTTTTCATATTTAAAACGCTGGTGTTACAAGTTTTAATGCTTCTTTTCATTATTTTGGAGCCAATCAAAATATGAAGGAATACAGAGAAAACCAGGAAGAAGGTAACCATCGTGTTTCAGTGCAAAATTCAAGATAACCGACACAATATAGTGTATATTGCACTGCATATTCATATTGTTCACTTGAATGCTACAGTATGTCGTAAATACCTACACCAGAACTTACTATAAACAATAAATTTCAATAAAATTAAAGGAACAGAAATAAATATGTGCCTTCTGATTGGCGCTGAAGACTATCGATTTAAAATAAATTTGTGGTATTTTCTATTCCAATATTATAAAGTAGAAAAGGTTCTATTGTTTATTTGCATCGAAGAAGCTCTAAAATTACTCTGGAACATCATAGGTGGATGACATAGCCTATAATTTTTGCGGGTAAAGATGCGGTACAAGCTAGTTTTCAATAAAAAGATTTTGTTTCACTTACCAATTTTTATCATAGAATATTCCACCAGCATAACTTTGGAACTCATCGTTGACATTCACTGACACAGACATAGGACCGTGGTTGATTAGTGCCATCTGAAAATCATTGAACGATTTAACAGTTGTAATTGTCACCTTTACGACCAATTTAATTTATTAAATATGTCATCATCATCATCAGCCCTTTTATGTCCCTACTGCAGGGTTTCCTTATAGATGATTAAGGAGGATGGGCCGTGACCCTCCACGCTGGTCCAATGTGTATTCAAGAGAGTATTAACGACTGTAAATGTAACCGGGACCAACGGCTTAATTTGCATTCCGAAGCACGGAGTATATTAACAATGTATTCGTTAAATATTGTTCCAAAATAACGTATTGCAGTTTTCATTTATACTTATTTATTTTTCTTAAAAAAAGTTTTTGACTAAATAACTGGTTAAATAATGAAATTAATAATTCATAACCTCCTTCGTTTACGTTTACACTCGTTAAGACTCGTTTTACATAAGATTTTCTAAATGATTTAAATGAAATATTTATATCCTATTTGTGTGTCATTTATAAGCATGTATAAAAACATGTATTTGGTGTAGGTGTAAAATTAATTATGTACACACTTTCAAAGCAGTTTCACTGTATGGAGTGACGTCAACAAATCCTTTGATTTTATAAACTGTTGTCATGTTGTTTATGTGACAGAATCCATCCTGAAACGTAAATCAAGTTAATTTTATCCGAATAAATTGGTAAAAGTGAAAGATATCACAATATTAAGTAACGTTAAAGACTGCTACGTAATGCTTGATAATATATCTTAACATATTGTTTTGTCGAGTAACAAAAATAATTTAAGATTGATTAAGCTAAATGTGTTAAAATCTGTGTTTTAAGTAGCAGCAATAATATTTTATTGCTTAATCATTTCAATACAGGATACGGGATTACTACTTACGCGTCCACTACCATTACCTTACTAGCTCATTTGTAATCGATAGTATCTAGTAGTATAGGTACATGAAAGTCTTTGGGTCTTTTGATTTTATTTGCTTTGTTTTTGCTCAAAGAGTTAGTAATGTTTACAATTTTAAAGATTTTTAAAACTGTAGGGCTTAGCGGTCTAAAGAGCTTACCTGGTTAGCATAGTCACCGTACTCGGCTTGGGTTGGGATACCATAGTCCATTGCCCAATTGTAAGCTTCAGTGTCAGCGCCACCGTCGCAGCCACTGCCTCCGTAACTGCAAAACGTTCATTTTCTTAAACTATATCATCACATAACCGGCATAAGCTCCCATTGGTGCGGGTCAGGCGTCCCCCATGCATGGGATCAAAACCGTGTTTCTGTATCTGTGAGGAAATTAAATAATTCCTTTTAATATTACTTACGGCCATGCACAGTCCAGAATAGCTTGATTACTGAGAGTTACGAAGTTTCCGCTATTGGAAAGTGCGACAGCTCCTTCTATTGACGCTGTAGTTCCAAATGTCCAACAAGAACCACATTCTGCTTGATCTATAAAATATAATACAAAGGTCAATTACTTTATCAATACATATATGAGTCCCGGGTTCGATACTCAGTCCGGTCATTGTAGAAAAATTATCTTTTCTACATTAAACTCGAGTATTGTGTTATCTTCGTTGTTTAGATATTCGTAATACATGTAGATATTCATAATAATTTGGGAGTATTTTATGTTGTCAAATATTTATTTATTTATTTTACATATAAATCCGACATATTGCTTTCTTATCATTGTAAAATGTCAGAAGATGTTACTGAATTGAAAGTATTTTTCATTTATAACCCAGATTTAAGCAACACTGCAAATCACAAAAAAAATGTCAACTGATTCTAATATCGGAGTAAAAAAGTGATATGAAATATAATACTTCAACATCATACAAAGTATTTTACTGATATGTATGTAAAATCTTCATTAGATGCGGATATAATGATCTCAAAATTAAGCAAACTGTAAGAAGTACGCATGTAAAGTTATAAAAACCACGCCTATTACAATAGAATAATGTTCATTTAATAAAATGCTTTCGTACTTTATGAATATTTGAAATTATTTACATAAGGATCTTCCTTATTATATAATCGACATTTAGTATATATTTTTTCGAATGTCCAAATACAGAACCAATAATATTGTTATTTAAAGTCTTCATTTATAAAAGCTCCACTAATATATATTATTTAAAATAAATATATATATCAAATTAATACGCTCTATATCTATATATCAAACATACTTTTCACAGTTCCGACGAGTCCGTAGAGTCTTGTATCATATTCGCTAGGCAAAGTGTCGGCCAACTCTTTTAGTTTTTCCGAAGTATAGGGAAAAGGTATCGTGCCCTTCTTGCCAGGTGACCGACGGAGGAGTCCGGTGTACTTAATCTTTTCAGTGGGAAGACGGTCGGAGAACTGGTTGATGGTAAGTTTGTAACCGAGGTTCTGGTTGTTTATCATTGACACAAGCCTAAAACAAACATTAGAATTAATTCATTCTACAAATGTCAGGAGCATAACCTTCTCCAAGGAAAGAGATGTGACACAGACCAGAAACCAACATGTGGGTTCAGTGGGAATCGATAAGAGCAAACGACAGATTCGACGGGATTTAATGCTTCTACGCCGCTACTTCAACATTACTATATTATTTTCGCCATTCTAATGTCTATTTTAATCCTATTAACATTATCAATCTGAAAGTTTTTTGTTTTGATATTTGTCCTTCAATCACGCCGAAAGTAATGAACGGATTTTTAACCATATTAGCTGACTTAGATAAAAGGATACTTTTTATCCCACTAAATATTTCCCTAAGGACCACTCGGGCGAAGCCACTGGAAATATAGTATAAAATAATTCTTAATAATTCGAATTATAGTATATAATAAAATACGTGACTATGAACATTTTAAAAATGAAAATCGAATTTAATTACCATTTAGCTAAATGTATAAAAAAATTAAGTTTATGTTTTTACCTCATATATTTTTTTAAGATAGCCTTCCTCATGTCGTGTTCAGCGTCAATGTCATATTTCCTGTTGTACCTTTTCTTGAAGCTGAAAAAAATTAAAAGCTAAGTTGTAAATATATTTCTGAGGCACAGGCGTTCCAAATAGGAAGGACTAAAAGTCACAGTCTCATTGCAATAGATGAGTTTCAAGAAATTCAGATGTAGAAGATCAGCAGCTTAGTTTAGTTGTTTTTTTATTACTCGGGTTTCAACAGTGTGCAGAAATTCAAATAATAAGTAAGCGATGGATTATTTTATTTGCTATGAATAAACTCTAAGGATATGAAACTGATATAAAAAAATCTTTTAAGAAAGAATATTCAAAATCAGATAATGAACTCCTTTTATTTGATACTCAACATGACGTCATAAACGATGTTTTATTCTTTTAGGTATGATTTTAAAGGTATGATTATTAAATAATAATGACAACTCCGCATATGTATATTGCTTAGATTCCATGACGTGTAGCTAAAGCCCCATATTATGGAGAATCTGTGACAACGAAGGTAACACAACATCCAGGTCTGAGAACATAGAAAAGTTCATTTTTTACATTGACCCGACCGGAAATTGAACCCGGGACCTCAAAGATGGCGACATCTTGAAACCGTCGTGCGAACCACTCGGCCACGGAAGTGATCGTACATTAAATTGAATGTGAATTCCTGTAGTATATACATATATTACTATGTTGTAACTTGCAAATAGTCAAATTGTGATACGCAGCTTAGAAATTTGTTGTAACTATCTTGTCCACAGAAATATATATAAGAACTAGGTGACCCGGCGAACTTCGTGCCGCCATATTTTATTTATAAACACTTGCTTAAGAAACAATAAATTAGTACATTTTATTCGTTTACATTCACAACATAAGCGAATAATTGAGATGATAACTATCCTATTTATTTAAATCGATTCAGTAGTTTGGAGTTTATTGGCAACATACATCGTGACACAATTTTTTTTTATATATAAAGGTGTATTTCTATGATTTTATCATACCTTTTGAATACATGGTCAACGTGTTTGTCATTATCTGGATTTATAAATAACAAATCCTTTGTAACGGCATCGTCTTTCATAGTATACTCCCTCGCATCTTCGCAATCTAAAATATTTAAATTAAAATGAGGTTAGAGTATTGTATTATATTTATACTTTCGTAAATTAATAGTGCCTATAATACTTACCAAAATGTTGTATACTATATAGTTTTTATGAACAAACCTTTTTGGTCCTATGTGGTTTAGTCTTTTGGTTTTTTTAAGAAAAGGTTTTTCCTCACTGTTGTCATCTATATAAAGAGGAACTATTTGATTGTTTGTTTATTTGTATTGATTGAATTGACCAATGTTAAAAGTTGCTTTATCTACGGCAGCTGAATCATATGCGGGTGACATACGCTATAACTAACGCGGACGAAGTCGCGGAAAATGATAGTGTTCAAATAAAATGGTGAAAATAAAGAAATGTGTTCATGTTTCACTAATGGTGCCCTCAAATGCTGTTATGCCACCAAAATGAATGATGAGACCTCCCCCGATATGCTCTAATTTAATCGGCTTTTTGTCAGCAAATATGTTTGTTACTGGCGTTACCTATTTAATCAAGATATTATATTATTATTTACATTCGTCTGTTTCAAAGTATTCATCACTGACTTCAGTTTCGACGTTGTTGAATTCCCAAATTTCAGATGACACTTCAGATCCAAACCACGTATTGTACTGTACCACTTCATATCTGCAAATATGTTAAGATTATCTAGAATTAAGTAAAAAATTACAAAAACTCTTATCCGACTTATAATATCAGAATTTAGCGCTTTGAAATTATTACAAATACATTTTTGGGCTTAATTAATAAGTACTTATATTTTCAAGATAAGATTATGATTACAATATAGAAGTATTAGTAAAAAAAAGTTGTTTATTGTACAACAATTACTATTAGTTTCATAGTAATGTGAACACAACCAAATAGAATAATAGCAACAGTAAATTCATTATGCTTCATTGTCGAGATCTTCGTGTTAGTAGTTCCATTATCAACAAGAAAATGTTCTCATCCTAATAAATAATTTTCTTCGTCATTGACACAATGTTAAAAAAATATAATATTTTTAAAACAAACTTTTATGTGTTTGCACTAAAACGTAAATAGTAATTTAATGCAAGATAAGTTCATAACGTACCTACTTCTAATCAAATTTTTCTTTAACAGTACTTGAAAAGCTTAACATAACATTATTATTTGGGTTGAATCAAATTTTTATTGTAATAATTGACTAAGTTTGTTAGAGTAAACAAATACTTATATATCCATTTTATGCAAGGTCCTAAAAATATATTTTGCCATTTTTTGAGCTTGGTTCAAAACTTGGCCATATATGGGGTCCACTGGGTTACCAGTATTTTATTCAATAAACGATAACAAATTATTTGTTATATAACTGTTATTTCAATAAGGATACAAAGTCTTTAAATTACTGACTTTCAATGTATGATAAATATCATACATTTCTAGAAATAGTTCTACATTTTGTTAACTTGTCTTAATTTGTTGCAAATGATCTTATTAATGAAGAAAACAATAGGGCCCGCTTCTCTATCATTAAATTTAAATAGATAATAAAAAACATAAACATACGGAGTGTTTATCAAAAAAATAAAATAAAAACCACATAACGTCTTAGCCACTTGGTTAGCCAGGAGACAAATTCGGTGTTTCAAGAGATATAGCTAAGTTGCTTTGATAAACTTTTAATAAATAAACAACAAAATATTAAATTCTTTCTTTCTTCATTCTGTTTAGAAAGAATATTTTCTGATCCATTGTGATATTCTTTATCACTATCTCTATTTTACTCTTCGAAGTTCTAGAAATATCGTCTTTAACGACAAATGATATAGTGCTCTTTTTAATTTAGTTAAATTATTTTTATTAAAATATTGCTAAGTTCCTATGACCACCTTCCGACTTCATCATCGTATCAGTTTACTAACACCATAATATTGCATCGTCACCTGACTTACATGTCTATGCAAAATTTCAAATCTATCGGATTTTATCGGATCTATCGGATCGGATGTTTGACATTGGGAAATTTGAGTTTCGACTTTTTGCGCACTAACTAACAGACTAAAAAGGCAAGTTGAAGTATAAAAGCTTGTAAAAAAAATAATAATTTTAGTACGCTATAATGACGTAATTTTGAGCAAGAGAATTGGAAACTCTTCTCTACATCGACTCAACCGGGAATCTAACCCGGAACCAAAACACCTTGAAACCGGTGTGCGGGTCACTCGGTAACGGAATCATCGATTATCGTTTGAAATTAATGAACAACGTATCACCGTTTCTTTCCTCCTGTGCTAACGTACCTAAACGCTAACTATTATTTGTTCCGTAATAGAAAAAAATAATTTTAGAAGTCACAATATCAATACATAAATTAAATTCATAAATTAATTCAGTACATACTTTTTTGGTATCCAAACTTTTTCATCAGAATTATAATAGGCCCATATAGTTTTCCTTGATTCGACATTTTTTGATACTTCTTCTAAGACGAATTTTGTTGTTTCTATATCACGAATAATTTCAGTGCCTGAAATACGAGTGAGAATAGGGGTGAAGTCACCTTTTCTTTATATTTTTATTTTATAGATATACATGAAATATATTTTAATAAATATAAAAAAATATAATTCATATAATAAGTTAAGATCTAAAAATAAATTTAATTATCAAAATTTCCCGTGACTACCTCACTTCTGTCATGGTGTCCCTATGACGTAACGGTACTCTGAAATGAATATCGTTCTATGTATGCATAAGATCTTACGCCTTTTAGTTTAAGCAATAGTTTAAGCAATATTACGTTACTTGATTTTAGTAAAGCCTTCAACTCCGTTGATTTTGACATTTTTCTCGGTGTCATGGCTTCTCTTAATATATCTCCGGCTGCAATTGATTGGTTTCGAAGTAACCTGCTAGGCGCCGGCAACGTATTCGTGTTGAAGATACAGTGTCTGCGTGGTGTGATATTGATGCCGGTGTTCCTCAGGGTGGCGTCTTATCTCCTCTGCTTTTTTCTATTTTTATAAATTCCATCACACAGTCGCTTTCATGTTCCTATCACCTTTACGCTGATGATCTCCAGATCTATACTCAGGCACCGTTAACTAGCCTCTCGAGGGCTGTTTTGGTTACTAATTCTAATCTGTCACTTATCAGTGCCTGGAGTAAATCATACGGTCTAATAGTTAATCCATCTAAAACTCAAACTATAGTAATAGGCAGTAGTCATTTCGTTTCCCGGATCGACTTTAGTGAGCTACCTTCTATCATTTTCGACGGTACTGTTATCCCTTATTCCGAAGCTGTCAGAAACCTTGGAGTTATTTTTGACCAACAGTTTTCTTGGAAGCCTCAGGTGGAAGCAGTCAGGAAAAGGGTGTTTGCTGCGTATGGTTCACTGAGTCGTCTGCGTAATTTTTTGCCGATCAGTACCAAAATCACTTTGGCGCATTCCCTAATGTTGTCTATTATCGACTACGCTGATGTGTGCTATACAGATCTCTCAGAAGAACTTCTCACCAAACTGGAGCGTCTGCAGAATGTATGCATTAGATTTATTTTCAATCTTCGAAAATATGACCATGTGTCGTATTTCCGTTCAAAGTTATATTGGCTTCCTATTCGCCGGCGCAGGGACTTGCATACTCTCACGGTTCTTTACTCTATACTTTTCCTCCCATCATCTCCACCATATCTTAAACAATCATTCTCTTTTCGCTCCTCTTCATCACAATGTACATTACGTTCCTCTTCAAACCTCACTCTCGAAATTCCTCGTCACTATACAGATTTCTATTCTTATTCTTTTGCTGTGCATGCTGTGCGTCTGTGGAATTCTCTTCCAGAGGGTATCAGGAGAGCTCGATCATTGGGATCCTTTAGCGATGAAGTTAGAAATTATTTCCTTTCCACATCTTAAAACTATTTTCATATTATTCTTTCACTATTAAACCGTTTAATTCATTTCACATGTATACATTTTATTTATTTATTACAATATATTAACGCTATTTATTTATTTATCCTTTTCAATATTGCACCCACTCCCCATAGTATCTTTATTTTTTATCCATTTTCACCATAGGTTGCCTGGAAGAAATTGCTGTTTAGCAATAAGGCCGCCATTTGTTTACTCAATCTCTTAGATAATAAGCTTTTTTGTAAACTATGTATCATATTGAGTGCAATAAAGTATTTTATTATTATTATTAAATATTATAAGCACAAAAGTGTAATTATCGGTAATAGTAGATTAAATACTAATATCAGAAAAAAAAAATTCTTTTTCTGTCTACACCCTTATTAAACCAAGGTTCTTGCAGGAATTGAATGAAATAGTTTCCGGGTAGCTTTAGAATGTAGTCGAGAAAACAGTCTACTTCACTATATTAGTTTGTTCCTTCAACTAGTTACTTTCTTCTACTTTGGCAGTTGTATTGATTAATGTATAACTTGTTTATTTAGCTAAAGTCTACATTCTTACAATGCAATTATAAGTACTCATACATGTAAACTTAAAAGCAAGATCGTCGTAATCATCAAAATCTTGGTCATCCTTTAGATAATATAGATTTGTTCGACAATTCTGTCTCTAGTGTAACTATTATTTGTATATCAATTTCAGAAATAAGATGCAATGAGTGTTGACAACGTGAAATGTAGAAATATTAGTACGAATCTAACGGCGACACGTGTCACGTCCATTATTGGTAAAAGTCAAATGGTACGAGCTAATTAATATGTTTTGGTTAAAAAGGCGTCTCTTATATTGATTCAATGATTAATAAATACTATTTTTCACTTCATCAATGTTTTCTCTGTTATTGGCGTATCTTCTGACGGTACTACATGATATTTAGAGTCGGAATGTATCCTCAAATTTTTGGAATAGGCAATATTTAGGACGAGCTAAGTCAGAGCACGTTCAAGCAAAACAGTTATTAACTGGACTTTTAAAATGGATGAACTTGTCAGCATAAGTGAGGGACATGGGTACCCGTCATAAAAAAGTTAATTTACGTAGCCCGACGAATGATCCGAATTCTCGTTACCATTTCAAAAATATATAAATGAATGAATATTATATTATACTAAAAAATATTATACTAAACAATGTTCAGTATAATAGATTCATGTTACCTACCAACTGCTACGAAGTCAACAGTGTCGGGCAAAATAGTTTCAAGATTTATTCTGTGCCACAGTATTCCTTTTGTTTTTTTACATACATATGTAGAGTCACCGTCTAGATCAGCCTCAGGATGGATCTGGGAAGAGTGCGTTATGTTTTCAACTATATTTAATCCAGCTTTTAGTTTTTTTAGTTTCTTCACTTGTGTACTTTTAGATTTTGCGTATAAACTGAAAATCGTTTTGTCAACCCAGCATTCCGCTTGAAGGTGGCGAGAGGTTTCTCTGATTAAATAATTATGATTAGTTTGTGGTCGTCATCGTCATACAGGATTCAAATAAATTTCGTTTGATACCTAGGTAGATATCAAACTGACATAGTTTATGGAAGATCAAAATATCAATCTAACCTATTACCTATTTGAAAAAAGTAATAATTACTTTTTTAAAAGGAAATTTGTTATAATTACATTGTATTGTATTCCGAATCTGGATCTTTTCTTATCGACAATCGACTTCACTGCGCCATTATTGTAATCAATTCTGGAAGTTTGTGGTGTTCGCCTGAAATCATATCATCATTATTCGATTTCATCCGTGGAAGGCCTGAGCCGCACCGGTGGGGATGTTAATAGGCTGGTGATGGTTCAGCTGCTAATTTCCCCTTTGCTGGAGCACAGGCCTTCAATATGGATAGAATCAAATAGGGATAACGTGACATAACCTACCTGCGTGTTATTGAATACAAGACATTTCAAAACATATAACGATTCTAGAACAATTTTCAACGTAAAATAATATACGTAACACTCAACGGGCGAGACCAATTCTCACTTGACCGTTTTTCATGTGACTAATATAAAAAATAGCTTTGGTCTCCTTATATTTATCGTGAATAATGTCCTTAAAGGACTGAATTCCGTACCACAACCTGGGTTTATGGAAATTGTTTATTCATACTTGGTTTACAATAATAACGATAAAAAAGCTTACCATATTTTGTAGTCTTGCGTGAAACCTGCTGTCAGATATATACGCAATGCATCTAGTGAAAAAGTCTCTGGCCATTCAAGATCCGGCTGGTCATCATCTTTTACTATAGAAAAAGCAGTGCAAATGAAAAATCAAATCATAATTATGATGGTTTAATGAGGGGCGTGCGTGGCACATAAGTTGATTTAAAATGCTGATTTTCTGCACATGTAGTCATGGAATATACTCTGCTGTTATTCTTACGCGCTGCGGCTCACCCCTACACTTCGATTCAGTCCCGAAAATGTGCTTCATGAATTGTGTAACAAATTTATTTCTGTGATAAATTCATATAAATAAAAAAAAAAAAATCATAAAATATGGTATAAAATGTTGATTGAAATAAATATATGTTCTCATGTTTTACTATATTAAAATAGCATGCAAATTAAGTCTAACATTCATTAGTATTTTATTCAAATAATAATAATAATCTCGAAAAAAAAGACTAAATTTTAATGATGTCAGTACTTACATATGTAATATGTATGTCAGCATTTGTAATTACTTTTAAATAATTCCTAAATAGTACAAAAATCATTTTCATAATGCCATTTAATAACTATTTTTTAAAATAAATTAATTTAATTCCTTTATTTCAATAAGTTACTTATTGTATATGCTGATGCACATTGCTAGACAGCTTTTATTATATTTCGATGTTTTAGGAATATTACTTATCATTTATTTATGCTTATTTCTTCGCACTCAGACGTCTTTTTAAAAAGTTTTTATTTTGATGTACAAACTTACATAATTGGTATGTGTAGAGTGACGGGAGAGGCAGCAAGCTTCGAGTTTTAAATTAATTTCTACATGATTCATCAGGTAAAATTTCATATGTGGCCCTCATTTATTTTTTCTGTGCCATAAACAGCCTGTTTCATCTATACTATTTCCCTATAGAATTAATCCGTATCGTAATACAGACTCCACATAAGAGCGATATGATAAAACAGCAGTATTTTAATTTGTAACCTTTTAAAGGTAACTCAAAGCGTAGATATATTTTTTTTATTTTTTCAATGAATTGATCTTTTATAATTTTTAGAAACTTTACATTCGTTGCTTCCTTAATTTTTGATATTTTTAGTTTCAAATTGTATTTCTCGTCTTTTACTGATTTAAATGCTGATTTATACAAATTAATGTTTAAATTATTATTAAGCCAATGAATTATGTCAATAGTTTTAGTTATTAAAAGTTTTATTAACGTGTTATTTCTCTTAACAGTCGTCACAATTATGAAAATGTCGTCTGCATGCAAAATACATTTCAAAATATTTTTTGAATAAATATATTTTGACGTTGCTTGCTGCTGCGCATAGTTCAACTTATGATCCCCGGTTTCTTCCAACTATAATAATTGTTTGTAAAAAAGAATTAAAATATTATTTTTCAGTTAAGTTTATTTCTATGGAGTAGAGTTTAACGTTTGGCAATTCATTCAGAATTCAGTTATAGTAACGCTTACTAGACGAGGTAGGACGAGGACCCCATTATCTTATTATCCTCGATGTTAGCAGGTTAAAAAATAAAGAAAAAACCGAGACTATGTTTGTTAGTAACAAACACAATATTAAATGATTACATTTTTTTCCTGCGTCTTTACCATCTTATTCCGTGTTTTCCGATCTGTGGGTCGCGCTGTGAAGTCTTAGGCGGGGGTCGCCAGAAAAGTAAAAAGTCAGAATCTACATGGTTCACTACAGCACAACACAATTTTTATTAGTAAGATGGACTTATTTATTTTTAAATAAAATATCAGTAATGGAGCTATTTTTAAATGTTAATGAATTAATAATAAGTCCCTAATAAATAACGTTAATATTTAATTTTCTTTCCTTTCTATGGCCCAAGCAGGTCGTCGTAGTCCTGAGAGGGGTCATATATTCAAAAAGTTTGAAAAACAATGATCTAGCTTAAAGTATACTTATCGTTAATATAATCTCACCGTATTTTCCATGAGCTATCAGTATTGCGCTCAGAAGTAAGATGTTAGAAAACCACATCACTGCCAGCTGACGCAGTTACCCACTAAACTATGAAACTGTTGAAGTTGATAGTTGGGTTTTTTATATCAACATCGTGCTGTATCATGTTAATATAATCATTAATTAACGTGATTTAGTTTAATCGATAAGCGATCGTTAGGGAAGTGAACATGTGAAAAAAAATACATTATTAATTAATATTCTCGTTAAAACTAAAATCTACTTTCAGTCTAATTCATTGCGATTCTGTGTAATAGCTTTAAGTTTTCGTAGCGAGTCCAAATACCTTTAAGGTTTTGCTTTATCTATTAATATAGTGATCAATTAAGAAAGGCGAAATCCACATTTACATATATTTAAGTTAAAATCAAAGAAAGAAAATACATTTATTGACCCACAAACAAAGAAAATTACATAACAAAAATGAAGGACAAGAAATAATAACAATGACTTCAATAACAATAACAATTGGGTCAAACAGGTTCCTCAGCTTATGTTGTAACGACGTAGGTCGCAACGACACGGCGCTGACCAGTAGGTCAATTCTGCTAATGTTTAGAAAGAAAGAAAGAAAGAAAATTCATTTATTGTCGAAACAACATAACATACACAACAATATTAAATATAGCTGAATTTAAAATAGAATTAGAAAAGGAATTGTTGAATAATGAATGCTATGTGATGCACACACTGGACTCCAGCTTAAGTGGTCGCATCTCAGTAGAATTTCAACTACTTCCATTTTGCCATTGTACTTCCTACCTGAAGTCCAATATTATTAGTTCATAGTCTTCCTGACACTTTAATGGTGACCAGTACCGGATTAAACCAGAGCGAGCCTGTAGCAAATGTATTGTGCCTCCCCATTGTACTACCTACCTGAAGTTCAATATTATAAGTGCATAGTCTTCCCAACACTTCAATGGTGACCAGTGCCGGATTAAACCAGAGCGGGGCCTGTAGCAAATGTGCTCGAGTCCTTTTGCTCGAGATTAATTAAGTGTATTAATAAAATAAAATGCTTACACAGTTTTCTTGATTTGTAAGATTTTATTGTAAAAGTAATTGCCATTACAACTGTTTAAACTAAATTCAACTTGTAATGTGAGTAGTAACACGCGCGTTCTTGTTTTTGATGTTTAACAACAAAGTAATGGTACATTATGGTGTATGGCTTTTCGAAAAATAATGGGTATTCTTCTAAACACCTAATATGTGTATCTTTCGTGAAGACAATGACGAATAATCGGAATCAATACCTAACTTTGCAAATGAAACAGACAAAATCTTTCCTCCGCAACAAACGCGGGGCCCATAACATTTGCTACGTTTGTTACGTGGCTAATCTGGCACTGATGTTGACAGGTATATATTAACATTAGTTTCCTGTTTTCGCCCTCGTGGCCCCTAGAGAATTGTTTATTTGTAATTAAAAACACAAATTGAATAGTAAACAATGGTTAAGATTAAATTCCCCATGCAAACTTCCTCTGCCATTTTCATCCCTATATTCACTGGTTTTTTGGGATAAAAAGTCTATGGTCACCGCATATGATGTCGCTTCCCGTAGGTAAAAAGTTTTTTAAATTCAGCCAAGTAGTTACGGAGCCTATTTGTTCCAAACAAACAATTAAATATTTCCTTTTTATAATATTAAGCATAAGCATATATTAGACTTAGAAGAAGCTCGGTGACGTAGTGGATAAGCGACGCGGCCCGCGATCGTTTTTGTTAAGCAACTTACGCAAGGGTCGGTCACGGGATGGCTGACCAAAATATTATTAATTTGAGCTTCTTCGTGCTTCGGAAGGCACGTTAAGCCGTTGGTCCCGGCACATCCTCCTTAACCACCCAAAAGGAAGGCCTGAGTCCCTTCAGTGGGGACGTAAAAGGGCTGATGATGATGATGGACTTAAGAGATAGTGTAGTCGAGATTCTATTGGGATGCGATTATTTTGGGTAATAATCGCATCAATTCGACATTAGTAGAATTGGCTTACTGTTGGTGTGTGATGTGCAACTAATGAAGTATAAATATAATGTGTATAAAGTACCTATATTCTTGTACGCTGTTATTATAACGTAACTTCCAATATACTCAGTCGACTTTAACGAATTGCGTAGGACGTCTCGTAAAAAATAAAGTATTATAAATATGCATAAAGGATACAGACAAAAAAAGGCATATCCAATTATTATCATCGTCGCTTTTCCTTGTTATATCGAAATGAGGAACACGAAATTAATGAACTCGCGTGAAAACGACCACTCATTTATTTTGATAAGATAATTTTTATGGCGACATCATTAGCATTGTGCAAAATGAAAGTTCGGCGGCTGACTGATGCAGTTGCGGATTGAGATGTGTATTATTTATAGTACAGATATAAAAGTTTTCAATTAGAATCCAGCGTTAGTGTGTGTATAATATTTATGAAGTTATAATTAACATTTTTTTTAAACAATGTTAGTACATGATAAAAACTTATGGATTATTTGCAAAAAAAATATGGTTTAGTGACTTTTATCAATAAATACATTGATATTATTGACAATTGAAAAATATTTTTTGAAGGTTTGAATCGCCTTTCAAAAACTTCGGATAAATAGATAGAACTGAAAAAAAAAAGAAATAATACCACAACATCTTTATCTTAGCTATAAGAAACTAAAAAGTAGATACAAAAATGTTTATTTGAGGTCAGTCTCAGAAGTTTCATTAGTAAGAAGTAAAACAGCACCATCAGAAAATGTGTCTAAAGTCATTTCTCGTACGATAAATGATATTTTTTTATAAATATCCGGCAACGGTTTGGCAAGGAAATTGTATAGTCAAAAGTTTAAAAAGAAATAAAAATTACTAGGTACTTTAGTTGCAATATAATAATTTGTAGCTCCTTCAATATTCCTACTATTTACACGGTTTGCTTAATTAAACAAGAATAGACATATTCACCAATACAGATATGATCTCGTTTCGAATTATATTCAAACATTGCCTTAGGATAGTGTTAATTCAAAATAACAGAAGGCCATTCAACAAAAACTATTAAACTGCCTCAGGCACTGGCTGGTAAAAAAAAAAACAAAATATGTTTAATAATAAAGCGTTCTCTTGTTTTATTATCGAGAAGTATCGGATGGCAATTAACATTCGAATTTTAAAAATATTCCATTCCATTGATCTATTTATAAAATATTAAACCGTTGAAACTTCGATAATCGTATAAGTTTTTATATTCGTTGTGCATTAATTACTCCGCACATATTAATCCATATAAGTCGTTCTCAGAAATTCGCTATACTTAAATTACTTAATGATATGATAAAGTGCTGTTTTATGTTTCAACGCACCTGAACGGAAGCAATTTATTTTAGGTACTCATTTGTGGAGCAGGTTCGTTTCGGTCATTTAATGATTAATTACCAATGTTTAGACGGTGTTGTGACAATAATATTATTTATTTGTGTTATTAATTATTTTGTCCTTGAATAAATTTATCATAATGAAACAGAAAAAAAACTTTTTTTAAAAAAGGTTTTATTTAAACGCTCTAAAAAGAAGAAAATAAAAATTTCCTACACAATTTATATGCTCACAAAAGCTTGTTGCCAGTTTGAGTAGGTACCTATCAATATTCAATTAATATGAAATTTAAAAAAAATAATTTAGCAGATTCTACACAATTGAAGTTTATTTACACAAGTAAATCGCGCAACAAGCTTTTATGGTCATTTACATTGTGTATAATTAACCTCATCATATGTTGGTACTTAAAATTTAAAAGGATTTTTTTCTTTTATAGCGTTTAAATAAAAGCTTTTTTTTAAGTTTTTTGGTTTTAATTTATTTTTTACTTGTTAGTTATCGCTGGCTCGGTTCCTCAGTTTGTACATCTCATTCAACGCATCATCGTTGCAATGATGTTTGCCGGTTCATTTCGTTTATTTTTTTAAAGCACAAAATCTTCAATCGTGCGCCATATTGGATTTAGAATGACGTCAAATTTTTTTTCCAGTCATTCACAATAAGTTCCTTCATTTGATATCCATATTGCAGAAATGCATTAAAAATAATTATTCCACAATTTTGGATGGTCGGCCATATTGTATTTAGATTGACTCGTCTGCCTTACAAACATTGAAACGCCCATGTTACTTATTCACCCAGAAATAGAAGGCAAACAATTAAGTTAAATTTCTTATAAATAATTTTGTAAGGAAAACAAGGAAAAAAAATCTATACCTATAGGTAGTATAAATTAAAGTCATTTACAACTATACACCGGAGTTTAATGCGGCTTCCAGCAATATACAGACTGATTTAAGAGAAAGGTTTATGTGTATAAATACAGGACCATGCGGGTGAAGCCACTGGCCTGAAGCTAGTTAAAAATAAATGTATGCCATCCAAACTTACAAGAATTTACTCTCATAAGAGTAATGTTTCCAAACTTGACAAATTTTGTGGTATCGTCAACACGTGTAAGTCAGAAATTTTGTTTAAAACCAACCAACAATGTAATTATGAAAGGCCCGTGATAAGTGTTCCAAACTTTCCTTTGTAGAAACGGCTGTTAAGTTACAGCTAATGCAGAAATGTATTCATTGCGAGGTCTCTACCATGATTATCTACAAATTAGTTAGAAGTTTCGAAACTTTAACTAATTTATAAAGTTTCAGCACTTTATATGGCACCGTGAAACATAGCGATTATTATTATATTATACTAGTCTCTTTCTGGCAATTGTATGTCAAACGTTTATATTATCAAAAACACTGCGGTAAGATTAGAAATATTTTTATGTGATGGTTAAATAATCTTATTATTTTTTTTTAATTTCTACACAAGTTTTTAATTTTCCTTTTATATTTTAATAGCGAAATCGGTCAAGCCGTTTACGTGTGATGGCGTGATCTAATAGGGATTCATCTATATAAATATATAAAAGGAAATGTCTTGACTGACAGAAAACGCACAGCGTAAACTGCTGGTCGTAAACATTTGAAATTTGGAGGGTAAATTTCTCATATTACGTAGAGTTGTTCTAAGAATTGATTTTTAGAAATATAAAATAACATTTCTAATAAATATTTTTGAAAATATTCAAGTACAAATCATTTTATATATGAAAGAAAACACAAACAATACTAGATGGCGTAAAGTGTATTTCCACATTGCACATTCTAATATCGCGGATATTACACTATTAATAAAATTAATAATTGTGTTTCGTATCAACGACCCTTGACAGTTAACCAGCTTCTTGGGCTTTGTACAGCCGCACTGTAAAAAGACACGATGCTTACTGAGCTAATCGACATTTAGCCATGCAAATGAATATCGATATTCTATTATAGGGCTAGCCACCTAATTGGACGAATGTTGTACCAGTCAGCTACGTCATATTCATTATATATTAACATCAATGTTGTTTTCGTTAATTCCCATAGAATCTCCTCAATATGTTAACTCAATTCGAGTTAGCGAATAAAAAAAGAGCTATGAATTTAAAAATCCACCAAGCAATTGTGATTTTTATTGTTATTAGTCTATTTATTTTGGTAACTGTCTGGTAATCTTTTATTATATGATATAATGTGCGACAAAAAGAATCGTTTAGTTATTCCATACTAATATTATAAAGCGAAAGTAGATCTGTATATATGTCTATTAAGCTCTCACGCCTAACCCACTAAAAATAGTTGATTGGGATTAGACATAAGGTTGTTTTTTATTGTGATAAAAAGCTTGAAATAAGGATTATAACATT